CTCGGCAAGAAACAAAAAATGCCGGAGAGGAATAATGTGGTGCCTTATTCTTCGTGCCTGGAACCAAAATCATAAAGCTTTTGGTGCCAATGATGAGCATGAAGCCCCCAGATCCATCTTCCCCAAGTCATTGTTAATAAGGCCTCATTGCACAAACAGTACTCGAGAGACAAAGACACCCAGAACCAAGGTAAGGAGAACAGTGAAAAGATCTAATCCAATAATCAAGAAAAGATTTGGTGATGCATTAGTTAGAGATATGAAAGATGACCTAAATCAACTTACGAAAGAAAGCCGAGTAGAAATCCATGCCCAAAAGCAAGTAAGAGTGGCTCCAAATTGTAATTAAGGCCATAAAATTAGGCATTAAGTTGTGAACCCAGAAGAGTCAAGTGAGAAAAGACCTTACCATTGATACTGGAGACAAGACAAAGTGCCAGCAGGCATCCCAAACAACCTTATATTGCTGCCTTCAGCTATGATACAAATACAACACTAAAATGTCCACCAAGTGCCAACCACACTGCCAGTGAAACCTAAAGCAGATCCTCTGGAAGAGGGTTCTTTCCCTCAGGAAGAAGCCACTGGAGGGGAAATGTGCAAGGAAAATGAGAGAAGAGGGCCTGAAACATGGAATGAAGCAGCCACACGGAGGCTAAGAGGAGAAAACTGTAAACAAAGATCTCCAGACTGCAGAATACAGGAAAGGGCATCTGGGACAGAAGGAAAAGCTAAAAAGAAATCTCATAGGATCCAATCTCAACAAAATATGTCAATCATAAAATAACTGCAATATGGAAATGGAGTTACATACAGGAGCAACTAGCAGAGATCCACTTGCAGATACACAAATGGATACTTGTAGATACTCAAATGGATACTTGCAGATACACAAATGGATACTATGCATATACAGCACGTGACATGGTCCAGGATGACGCGAGGGTTGAGAGTATCTCGGGAACAGGAAAAGAGTGGGCCACCCTTCAAATGGACAAGATAGCCATGAGAACATTGGCCAGCAAATTACAAATGATGTTACAGAGTAGCAAATAATTGAACAGGTCCCTGAAACACCAGAAAGAAGGGGGGGGGGGGGGGGGGGGAGGGGGGGAGTGAGCAAGACAATAAACATGAAGGAATCATGAGATAACCCCCCCCCATGATGTTACTGGGGGAAGGGGGGTACACTGTTACTGGGGGAAGGGGGGTACACTGTTACTGGGGGAAGGGGGTACACTGTTACTGGGGGAAGGGGGTACACTGTTACTGGGGGAAGGGGGTACACTGTTACTGGGGGAAGGTGGTACACTGTTACTGGGGGAAGGGGGTACACTGTTACTGGGGGAAGGGGGTACACTGTTACTGGGGGAAGGGGGTACACTGTTACTGGGGGAAGGTGGTACACTGTTACTGGGGGAAGGTGGTACACTGTTACTGGGGGAAGGGGGTACACTGTTACTGGGGGAAGGTGGTACACTGTTACTGGGGGAAGGGGGTACACTGTTACTGGGGGAAGGGGGGTACACTGTTACTGGGGGAAGGGGGTACACTGTTACTGGGGGAAGGGGGTACACTGTTACTGGGGGAAGGGTGGTACACTGTTACTGGGGGAAGGTGGTACACTGTTACTGGGGGAAGGGGGTACACTGTTACTGGGGGAAGGTGGTACACTGTTACTGGGGGAAGGGGGTACACTGTTACTGGGGGAAGGGGGTACACTGTTACTGGGGGAAGGGGGGTACACTGTTACTGGGGGAAGGGGGTACACTGTTACTGGGGGAAGGGGGTACACTGTTACTGGGGGAAAGGGGGTACACTGTTACTGGGGGAAGGTGGTACACAGTTACTGGGGGAAGGGGGGTACACTGTTACTGGGGGAAGGGGGGTACACTGTTACTGGGGGAAGGGGGGTACACTGTTACTGGGGGAAGGGGGTACACTGTTACTGGGGGAAGGGGGGTACACTGTTACTGGGGGAAGGGGGTACACTGTTACTGGGGGAAGGGTGGTACACTGTTACTGGGGGAAGGGGGTACACTGTTACTGGGGGAAGGGGGTACACTGTTACTGGGGGAAGGGGGTACACTGTTACTGGGGGAAGGGGGTACACTGTTACTGGGGAAAGGGGGTACACTGTTACTGGGGGAAGGGGGGTACACTGTTACTGGGGGAAGGGGGGTACACTGTTACTGGGGGAAGGGGGGTACACTGTTACTGGGGGAAGGGGGGTACACTGTTACTGGGGGAAGGGGGTACACTGTTACTGGGGGAAGGGGGTACACTGTTACTGGGGGAAGGGGGTACACTGTTACTGGGGGAAGGGGGTACACTGTTACTGGGGGAAGGGGGGTACACTGTTACTGGGGGAAGGGGGTACACTGTTACTGGGGGAAGGGGGGTACACTGTTACTGGGGGAAGGGGGTACACTGTTACTGGGGGAAGGGGGGTACACTGTTACTGGGGGAAGGGGGTACACTGTTACTGGGGGAAGGGGGTACACTGTTACTGGGGGAAGGGGGTACACTGTTACTGGGGAAAGGGGGTACACTGTTACTGGGGGAAGGGGGGTACACTGTTACTGGGGGAAGGGGGGTACCTGTTACTGGGGGAAGGGGGGTACACTGTTACTGGGGGAAGGGGGTACACTGTTACTGGGGGAAGGGGGTACACTGTTACTGGGGGAAGGGGGGTACACTGTTACTGGGGGAAGGGGGTACACTGTTACTGGGGGAAGGGGGTACACTGTTACTGGGGGAAGGGGGGTACACTGTTACTGGGGGAAGGGGGTACACTGTTACTGGGGGAAGGGGGTACACTGTTACTGGGGGAAGGGGGTACACTGTTACTGGGGGAAGGGGGGTACACTGTTACTGGGGGAAGGGGGTACACTGTTACTGGGGGAAGGGGGGTACACTGTTACTGGGGGAAGGGGGTACACTGTTACTGGGGGAAGGGGGTACACTGTTACTGGGGGAAGGGGGGTACACTGTTACTGGGGGAAGGGGGGTACACTGTTACTGGGGGAAGGGGGGTACACTGTTACTGGGGGAAGGGGGTACACTGTTACTGGGGGAAGGGGGTACACTGTTACTGGGGGAAGGGGGTACACTGTTACTGGGGGAAGGGTGGTACACTGTTACTGGGGGAAGGGGGGTACACTGTTACTGGGGGAAGGGGGGTACACTGTTACTGGGGGAAGGGGGGTACACTGTTACTGGGGGAAGGGGGTACACTGTTACTGGGGGAAGGGGGGTACACTGTTACTGGGGGAAGGGGGTACACTGTTACTGGGGGAAGGGGGTACACTGTTACTGGGGGAAGGGGGTACACTGTTACTGGGGGAAGGGGGTACACTGTTACTGGGGGAAGGGGGTACACTGTTACTGGGGGAAGGGGGGTACACTGTTACTGGGGGAAGGGGGAAGGGGGGTACACTGTTACTGGGGGAAGGGGGTACACTGTTACTGGGGGAAGGTGGTACACTGTTACTGGGGGTACACTGTTACTGGGGGGGGGTACACTGTGGGGGAAGGGGGGTACACTGTTACTGGGGGAAGGGGGGTACACTGGGGGAAGGGGGTACACTGTTACTGGGGGAAGGGGGTACACTGTTACTGGGGGAAGGTGGTACACTGTTACTGGGGGAAGGGGGTACACTGTTACTGGGGGAAGGGGGTACACTGTTACTGGGGGAAGGGGGTACACTGTTACTGGGGGAAGGGGGTACACTGTTACTGGGGGAAGGGGGTACACTGTTACTGGGGGAAGGGGGTACACTGTTACTGGGGGAAGGGGGTACACTGTTACTGGGGGAAGGGGGATACACTGTTACTGGGGGAAGGGGGTACACTGTTACTGGGGGAAGGTGGTACACTGTTACTGGGGGAAGGGGGTACACTGTTACTGGGGGAAGGGGGTACACTGTTACTGGGGGAAGGGGGTACACTGTTACTGGGGGAAGGTGGTACACTGTTACTGGGGGAAGGGGGTACACTGTTACTGGGGAAAGGGGGTACACTGTTACTGGGGGAAGGTGGTACACTGTTACTGGGGGAAGGGGGTACACTGTTACTGGGGCAAGCTGCGAGAAAGTCATTGCAGCCGAGCTGATAAACACAATGGGAGAACCGTAGGCACCTGAGTAAACGGTGCACCAGAACTCTTTCTTTGGTCTAGAGGCCGAGAAACACATACACCGGCCTGCCAAAAAGATGGAACCCAAGCCAGCATCAAAAGTTAAAAAACTGAGCTGATTTACACTGTCGCTGCAGAAACTTACTAAGCCAAGATTTCCCCTCTTTGGGAAAAGTAGAGGAAAGTACAGTGTAGAGATCTAGTAAAAATAAGAACAAGTATACATCACCAAGCATTCTTCCTCCTCATAAATCAGTAAAGGCTTCAAACCCACGGCATGGGTTTCAATCCCAGTTGGATCATGGCTACAGAACATGAAAACGAGATGGTGTGTAGCGTCGTGCGGCATCTGCCTGATTAACTGCCACCCATCAAGGGGCCTCACCCAATAGCGAGGGCCATGTACAACAGACCTCACAAAAGGGGGGAAGAAAATAACCACCAAGCCAACAAGTGGAGTGTCAAAAACAAAAGGTGTCCACCGATGTGAACCAAGACCGAGGAATGCCCAGGAAAGCCACACACATCATGGCAGCAGCCTCGGACGAGGGCTCCACAGCAAACCTCTCGCCATTGACGAGATGCAACGGGAACAAACAACCAGTGGTAACCCAGCACAAAATGAGACCTCAGTAAATTGCCAAGTTCTACTGTTAAACAATTCCAGCAAACACAGAAACTACCGAACTCTCGGCACGAGTACACACTCGGTCAGTACTGTAGAGAGAACAGGAACACTCACAGCATGTGCTGATTATAATGAGTTTGCATACCTTTTACACGAACAACTACAGTGCTAAGTAAATATATTTTACAGCCCTCCACAGGTATTGTGACACATCATACACTGGCGAAATCTTACCTTATGAACCGCAAAAGTTGAGAGCTGTCGATAAAACCTGCCGCACTGCGTGCAGAAGTACTTCTTCTGCTGGTTGTGAACCATGTGGTGCTTGTATAGGGACGAGTACTCCGTGAACCTTTTACCACAGTTCTGCAGGCCAAAGATCTCTTATTATTATTTGCAAATGCTGTATAATAAGTCAATAAATCACAATATAAATAAATCCATATTTAATTCCTGTTGACAGGGACACGAAGCATAGACTAAGGATGATCAACATCAACCAAGGCCACAACAACACAAAAGTGTTGTTCTGCTGTGTAGTGCCCATTCTCCACACCTTAGTACTGTTGTTGTTTTATTGGGTTATATTTATGCAATATGCAATGTCTATACTGTATACACCACAACATTTTTTTTTTTTGGGGGGGGGGGGTTTGGGGGGTCCTCCTCTGGTTGAACAGAACTGAAGCCTCAAAACTGCCAAACGAACTCCACAAACGATGCAAACAAATGATCAAGTCTCACAAGACTAGCGTGAGCTCATTCAGTTCATAGAGGTGTCTCAAGACGAAGTGGAAAATTTACTCAAGGGGCTAGGAAGAAATAAAGCTGTTGGGACAGATGAAGTTTCACTCTGGGTGCTGAGAGAATGTGCAACTGAACTAGGCATTCAACTTCAACTGATATTCCAGACATCTTTGTCCACACAAATCTTAGCAGATATTTGTAAAATGGCAAACATTGTTCCAATCTACAAGAATGGTCACAAAGAAGATACTCTAAATTATAAGCTCGTATCATTACAAAGCGTGGTAGTCAAAATATTAGAAAAACATTTAAAAGCCAAATGGCTAGAACACCTGGAGAGTAATGACATAATAAAGGACAGACAGTATGGTTTTTGAACAGGAAAATCCTGTGTAACAAATCAACTTGGTTATGCAAAGGGAGCATAACCAAGCATATATTGTGTCAGCTAGAAAAATGATAGGATGGATTACAAGAACGTTCAAATCCAGGAATCCCATCACAATGGTTGTACTCTTCAAATCACTTGTACTGTCCCGTCTTGGGTACTGCTCAATACTCACTTTCCACTTCAGAGCAGGAGAGATTGCTGAAATAGAGGGAGTACAGAGAACATATACGACATACATAGACATGATACAGCACTTAAATTATTGGGATCGTCTCAAAGCTCACCAAATGTTCTCACTAGAAAGGAGACGAGAGAGATATTAAATAATATACACGTGGAAAATACTGTAGACAGGTCCGAAATTTACATACTAAAATAACAACATACTGGAGTGAATATGGAAGAAAATGCAGAATAGAACCAGTGAAGAGCAGACGTGCCATAGGCACAATCAGAGAACACTAGAACACTGTATAAACATCAGAGGTCCACGGTTGTTCAACATCCTCCCAGCGAGTACAAGAAATATTGCCAGAACAACCGTGGACATCTTTAAGAGAAAACTAGATACTAGTAGTTTTCTTCAAGGAGTGCCAGACCAACCATGTTGTAATGGATATATGGGCCTGCAGGCTGCCCCAAGCAACAGCCTGTTGGACCAAGCTCTCACAAGACAAACCTGGCCGCGGGCTGGGCTTGGGGAGTAGAAGAACTCCCAGAATCCCATCCAGCAGGTATCAAACAGGAACAGTAACACCAAGGGAAGGGGAGCAAGGCCCCATCAGTCTCTAGAGAAACAGTGACAACTCATTACAACTCACTTTCGAGCTCTAGCGACTAAATTTCTCGTCGTTCATTTTTCTCTTGATTCTACTCTAGCGACGAAGTCCCGAGTCGTTCATTAAAATATTTGTTAAAAATTAAAATTTTATCCGATCAATATGGTAGTGGTTTCAAAATGAGCGTCTTTAGATTGCTCACAATTTAGCACTTTCACACCCATATGTCGCTTGAGCAGGACATATTTTTTTTCTCTTGAATGCACCTCAAGTAGCATTTGAAAAAAATATTTCTATAAAATCCAATTCTTATCCGATCGACTTGGGGATAGTATAAACATGTTTGCCATTAAATTTTTGTTTTCTCTAATAGCCACATAGCCTATTTAGGAGAACGGCATCATGGTGGTAAGACCATTGTATTGTTGACACGACGAGTGTAATCGACGTAGTTTTTTATTTGGTGCCAGTCTAACGCGTCCTTGTGTGACATTTTATACTTATGTTCTAGATCATAAACATTTCAGCGCGGTTTAACGCTCCCGGCTAACGATTGCCATAGTGCATTTTTATTTGGTCACAGCGGATCTTTAAAGAATTCTGATAGTCTTATGTCGGGTTTAACGCTGGTAAAATGTCGGGTTTGGTTTTACATATACATTCCTCTAGAGCATTCTCTTGCGAGCAAATTGATACCAAATTTAAATACATACATGGAATATTAACACTTTGTGCGGATCAGGACTCCGCCCGGAGTCCTGATCCGCCTACCCACTTCCGCGATGTGGACATAAAATGATGTCCTGAAAAAAATATTTGTATAAAATTCAATTTTAATCCGATTTACTTTGGGTTTGTTTCAAACTGCACGCCATGAGGCTCTCTTTCTCACCACTAGGCTGCATGGTACAATAAGTTCATGAAAGGTGTGGACCACTTCGATCAAATGGTATTACCATTTTACCCGGAAAACTCACAAGTGGACCTAAAAGATAACGTTTTATTTCCTGCAAATGGCTTTGCATAATGCCTTTGTTTTGTACAAATACAACACAACTGATCAAAAAAAGCTAACATTGATACAGTTCCACGAGGTGGCAAATTGGGCCCTATTGTGCTGGGACCCGGAAGATTGGCCTCAAACAGCAACAGTATCTCAACACTTGCGGCACGCTCCAGACATAAATGATGACACAGGTCCTGCCTATGCTGATGCCATGCAAACTCCTGGACCATCTGGTGTGAGGCGGCCCTTGTTCACTTCAACACCTCAAGCTGAAGCAGCAACCGAATCAGAACCCGAGATGTCTGGCACACTGCCATTTGACGAGACGGTTTTGTCAGATGACTCTGACTCAAATGTTGAACCTCCAGCGATTCAGTTGATTCTGAAAATCGCATGAACTACAAACTGAAACGAGTATTTTGATACCAGAATGAACACTGTATCACAAACTGCCATAAGTAGACTCGAACCTTCATTGATTTTTTTTTGGGTGTAGCGTGTGTCTGCATGAGTGTCCCAAATGGGTTGCAGATGGGTGACTTTAGCAGTTTATACTGGTAATGTATTTTGTATTTTGATACCAGAATGAACACTGTATCACATAAACTGCCATAAGTAGACTCGAACCTTCATAGATTTTTTTTTGGGTGTAGCGTGTGTCTGCATGAGTGTCCCAAACGGGTTGCAGGTGGGTGACTTTAGCCGTTTATACTGGTAATGCTTCCCCCATATCATGTATTATATGCATATGTCTGTTTAGGGAATTTTATTCCGATCAATGTACAACCAAAAATAACTGTGTGCAACAAGTATAAACTTGACAAACATAACAAAAGTAAAAACATTTCGTGTGTGTTTGACGCTCACTGATATGTTCCAGCGTTGTTTTATATTTGGCGCTATTCTATCTTACGCTTTGTTGATCTTTTTTACCTACGGGCTCATAGAACATTCTATTGCGAACACATTGACACAAAAATGAATGACGTACATAGAATAATAATGTCAGGACAGTGAAATTGGCATATACGATGGCATAGAACATATACGGCACGCATAGACGCAATAAAGCACCTAAATTATTGGGATCGTCTCAAAGCCCTTCAAATGTACTCACTAGAAAGAAGACGAGAGAGATATCAAATAATATACACCTGGAAGATACTGGAGGGCCAAGTACCAAATCTACACAGTAAAATAACAACGTACTGGAGTGAACGACATGGAAGAAAATGTAGAATAGAACCAGTGAAGAGCAGAGGTGCCATAGGCACAATCAGAGAACACTGTATAAACATCAGAGGTCCGCGGTTGTTCAACGTCCTCCCAGCAAGCATAAGAAATATTGCCGGAACAACCGTGGACATTTTCAAGAGGAAACTAGATTTATTCCTCCAAGGAGTGCCGGACCAACCGGGCTGTGGTGGGTATGTGGGCCTGCGGGCCGCTCCAAGCAACAGCCTGGTGGACCAAACTCTCATAAGTCGAGCCTGGCCTTGGGCCGGGCTTGGGGAGTAGAAGAACTCCCAGAACCCCATCAACCAGGTATCAACCAGGTAAATAAGTATAAACTTTCAAAGCACCGTATCGCACATGTGTCGTCCCGTCACCGATACCGGGTAACAATTTCACCACTTCCCACACTCTTGCGGGTGGGCCGCGATCATTATTCTACATTTATATTCATATCACCGTGTTGGGAATTTCATTGCGAGTCCATTGATACCAAAATTAACGCTGTAGGACAAGTGTGGAGGTGATAACAATCCCAAGAGTAAAAACATTTTGTTGCTGTTGGGCGCTCACGGCGAGTCATCTTCGTAGTTATTTATTTGGTGCTGGTATCCCTATACGTTTCGTGACTTTTTTTACTGATGTCCTTCTAGAGAATTTGATTGCGAACACGTTGGTACCAAAATGAAATACATAGCTCGAGAACTAAGGTCAGGAGAGTAAAGAGTATACACATTTTTGTTTTTACTCTTAAGCGACAAAAACGCCGCGCGCACATACCGCTTTTTTTTTTACCTTCGCCGGGCGCGCGAAAGTGTTAAGGTGAGCAGACCGAAAAGATGATAAACATTTTAGTGTCGCCACGCGGTCGCCCGAAATGAACGGCGCAAACCCAGAAAGTACACAGTTTACTCCAGGGAGCTCGAAAGTGTTAAGGCAGGGTATGTCGGAGTGGTAATTAGCGATTTTGTTGGGCTGACTGGTTGGGGGTCAAGACCTGCATCACAATATACAGAATTATAAATGGCAAACTCATAAGGTATCTCACTCATGGATATGTACTGTAGTTATAATACTCACCTCAACAGAGCACACGTATGGTTTCTCTCCAGTATGAATTCTACAATGATTCCTGTAATTTGTTGCTGAAGCAAATTTCCTTCCACATCCATCATATTTGCATTCATATGGCTTCTCACCTGTTCAAAACAATGCATCAGTTATGTATTATTGTATGTGATTTGTAGACAGTTGTTTACAATATACTTGTGTGTGTTTGGAATAAATGCAAGTGATTCTCCTATGCCAGCACATGTCAATATTATTATTATTATGAACACTGTACTGTACTTCATATCCAAGTGTAAATGACCCCTTTCTTGCTGCACCCTCTCCCCTCTCCTCCTCCCCTCACCCCATCCTCTCCCCTCTCCTCCTCCCCTCACCCCATTCACTCTCCTCTCCATCCCTCACCTTATCTCCAGAAATGGACAGACAATCAGTGCCACCGACCGTACCTGACCGAAGCAATGTCAGCCTGGCTCACCAGGGGAGCAGTAGTCTCATTCTACCTCTTGGCAAGTTTTGGCCCTACCTGCCAGCCAGTATAAATCCACCTCACGATTGATATATTATCGGCACATTATACGAAGTCATGTCAACTTTTGTGTTAGAAGACAGCGATCTTCTAACACAATTGGCAAATGTTGATGAGGAAGGAGGTGATGCTAGTGTTTCCACAGCTTGATACAGTAGAGCAATGCAAATTAATGAAAGCAATTCCATCCATTAAGACACTCATACTTGTTGCATGTTATTGCTCTCATTAAGAAACTCGTAGTGTTAAACATGTAGAATATACCAGCAGTATACTCTACCCGTACACCTATCATCAAAATCTGCCCCAAAATGAAGCAGGGGGCATACTGATAAATACTTATTTATCTAAGTATTTATTTATTTATAAATAAATAAATTTATTAGATATACTGATACATTAAGAAAGCAAGTTTTACGAGAGAATACTTACCAGTGTGAACTCTCATGTGCACTTTCCTTATATTTGATGTCGTGAAGGACTTGTCACACATGCCGCACTTGAACGGGCGTTCTCCTGCAACACACATTGTTGACATGTAATACTTTTTTTTTTTTTATTATATGACATGTGTTAAAAGTCCTAACTTGGTGACTACCACCCGCTTAATAGTGTCCCTCAAATGGACTCCAATATCACCAACCATCCTGCTGTGAAATCCAATAATTAACCAATAGTATTGATTATAGGCTTGTATCAAGTACCTGTACCAACAATTATGAAACTGCAATTACCTGAAAACTGGTACTTAAGTACTAAGTACCAGTAAGTACTTGAACACAAACGTGACCAATACACACCTGGACATTGTTTTAAATCTGTGGCACAAATGGCACATGCTATGGGAAGGTATTTTATCCCATTTCTCCAAACATTGTTGTTAGACACAGAGAACATATTATGCATACGAACGGCCTATTGACATAGCTCGGGGTGCAGGGGGGGGGGTTGTGTAAAAGCCTGGTTTGTGCCTCGGAGAGGCTACGGGATCCAGTAAGTTCAGTAGAACTTCGGTTTCAACCCTTTTAACCCTGTCGTAGCTCAGTCGATTAAGGCAGTGTCTGGGATGCTCCCGGACGCAGGTTCCAATCCTCGTCACGGCCCTTGTGGATTTGTTCATTGTTGTTAGGTGAGTACTTAACAACAATGCATGCAGGGGTCTGGAGTTTCAGCTCTTGGATGCCACCTATTAAGTTTCAAATGACTTGTGTACAACTTCCCAAACCTTTCAGTTCTGTAGCAATTTAAATATGAAGCTACACAAGAAGTCTGCCACAGCAGACAGAAAAACAAAAACTGTTGATTGATTGACAGTTGAGAGGCAGGTCCAAGAGCCAGAGCTCAACCCTCACAAGCACAACTAGGTAAGTACAGCACTTCATTTCATTTCTTTTCTATTCTGACACTAAAAACATTCTTCCTAATGTGTCTTTTGCTCATCTGGATACTCAACTTTCATCTATGTCCCATCATTTGTGCTCCCCTTTTAATTTAATACAGCATATCATTATCTCTTCTTTTTTTTCCCTGTAAATTCAACTCAGTATTTTGTGTACAATGATCATGTCTCTCATTTCTTCTATCTTCCAGCAATCCTACTAAGCTTATACATCATTGCTCTGGAACAAGTCTGATGACATATCTCTGGATGTTCTCGAGCCTTGCTTTGCGAACGAGATATGGTCTCCACGCTGGCAGTGCATTTCCCATAAATTTTCTGACGTATGTGATATCCAGAGCTCTGAATGACATCTCATTCAGGTTTCTGATATATCAAAACCCCAAGTAACTTTCCACTTCTAGCTACTGTGTACCTAATGGAGTTTAAGTCTAGCTGCCACTTGTTAAATCATTCTTGCATTCTGCCAAAATCTTCCTGTTTCTAGCAACTTCCTCTGACCATCCTCATAATTTGTGTCATCAGAAAATATTGATGGAAAAGTCTTTTCTCTATGGGAGATCATTTATATAAATGAACAATTGAATTGGTCCTAATAAATGACTCATCAGACCCCATTCCCAAAATTTCCAGACATCTTCCCAAAACTACTACTAACTACAGTACAGGCAGAAATTGTCTAGGATCCGAGGCTTGCACCTGCCTAGGCCCCAGAAAATAAAGGTAAAGTCATAGAGCTATGGGGAATGTGAGAGGGGGTAAATCAAGTATAAAATGTAATTAAATATTCATTTCAAAGGGGCCCACAATAGCTTCCCAGTGCATACTTGCTGGTGTAGACAAGTTTCAAGAATTGCACCCGGTTTCTGAGTTTCTGCCGCCATTGTGGCAGACCAACCAAGCATCAATAACCCACGGACCCCTCTGGAACCCTGTCGTCTCGTTCTTCGCCAGAAAAGAAGGAGACAGCTGTAAGTGAACAAAACGTTCACCCGGACCAAAAGAGCAAAAGCCTCAGCGCCGGAGGAGAGCATGAAACTTTCCAACCCGACCTCCAGAAGCTAAAGCCAACAAGAACACAGCTTTCTGGAAATAGCCTTGGACCAAAGGGGCCACCACAAACCGAGGGGAAGAGAGAAAGGAGAGCACCCAGTCCAAGAACCAGGACGGCTCAGGCGGCACACAAGCAGGCCAGAGGTGGAAAAAGGCACAAGAAAGCTTGCAAAACAGAGCCGAAATGACATCCACCCCAAATGCAAGTGGAGTGGCTCCGCCAATGCCGCACGATACGAGGTGACAATATTTGGTATAAGATGCCCGTCCTGAAAGAGACAAGAAAGAAAAGTCAACACTACATGACCTAAGACCGAAGACAACCTACGTGAAAGGAAATGGAAATGGTGAAATGACCGCCAAGAGACTTCATACTACCACCGAGAAGAAGACCGCAGGTGGGACACTATTAGAGAATCCGCTAAAAGAGGCGGAGCCGCAGGAAAATGCACCAGGTTCAGACACCGAGCAAGCAGCGCCTGAAACCAAGGCTGGGCCGGCCACCATAGAGCCAGAAGGAGAACCCTCCCCCGACAGGACTCGAGCTGAGCCAGAACCCCGAAGCAACAGTTGAACCAGGGGGAAAAAGAGGTACAGGTAACCCCATCTCAACCAATCACGGAAAAGCGTCTACTGCAATTGGCGGTTTCTGCACCTCCGTCCCTACACCGAATGGAGCAACCTCCGGAGCCACTGAGTCTTATCCCCAGCTAAACCCTGCCCCAACCACGAAACCCTCAGATGTTTGGGAGCCAGCAGCAGGGGGAAAGGAGAACGGTGAACAACACCAACAAGGAAAGGATGAAGGGGCGTGGACTGAACCAAGGTCAAAGTGACCAACGCCACCAAGTCTGGGTCCCTATTACCAAAACAGCGCAGCCCCAGGGCATTCGAGTGGGCAACCAACCTAAATCTAGCATGAAACGCGCATGCTGCTTGACCCCTAACCTCAGCGACAGCAGAATGAGTAAATTGGAGTACTGTATAAATGGCGCACAAGTGTGGCAACACACTGGGTCGAAGGTGTCGGCGACCCAACAAACAGCATGACGGAGGCAGAACAGGTGATCATCATCCTGAGACAGGGGCAACGAACTACCCCCAAACTTGCACAAGGCGAGATGGAGCTCAGAGAACACGTCCATTGACCAACTAAACCCCGACAAGGATTTCCAGGGCCTGCAGGAGGATGTGTCCCTACAGTAAGCCCAGGCACTGGTGCTGCCAAAACCAGTTGTATCTCCGAATAGTTTCCGGGCAAACTGGCCCCTGTGAAGTAATTACCTAAGTGTAATTACCTAAGTGTAATTACCTAAGTGTAGTTACAGGATGAGAGCTACTCTCGTGGTGTCCCGTCTTCCCAACAATCTTTGTCATATAACGCTTTGAAATTACTAAAAAGAACTGTATGATCCGACCTGGGTTTGAACCTGCATTAGCAGGGCTCACGCCCAGTTGTACACAGTACCATAACAACCTCACCAAAAAAGCAGCGTTGAATGTAATGAAACGGCATTTGCTGGGTGAGTCCCGGAGGCTCCCCGGAGCTTACTAGGCTAATATGCTAATGTCAGACTTTGGCTTCAGTCATGTGTATGGACTTACTGGAAACCACGAGCCAGAACCTGGCCTTCTCTAGAGAGGCAAGGGGAGCAATGGCCTATAGAAACCCCCGTGTAATTGGAAGCATTCTATGTCTGCCATCGACTGGGTTAAGCACCCAGAAAGGTAGGCGTTCCAAAACAAACCCCTATTCTGGTAAAAATTGCAACCAAAAGCCGAACGAGTGGATAGAACTCCCCAAACAAAAACGAGCAAACTAGTATGACATCATCCGTCATCGTGCTGCTGTCTGCGCAGCCCCCCTCCCAGGGAGGTGGGAGGGGCAGCCCCAGACCTACCACGTCAGCAATCCACACCCCCAATTCTGAGGCTGGATCTAAAACATGCGAAAAAAACGCCGACCGGAGGGAGAGAGGGATTCCGGGGAGCCTCCGGGACTCACCCAGAAAATGGCATTTTACCACATTCAACGCTGGTTTTCTGGGGAAAACCCCTATGGCTCCCGGGAGCTAACTACCCACAGAGGAAAAGAATAGGGACTTACCCGGGAGGCGGTTGCTGCTCACTCCTCAACCCGAAGTCGAGACAACTGGCTGCATCCGCCGACCCAAAGCGACACAGACCCGACCGGGCCCAGGAATGTTTACAAGGTAACGAGCAGCCAGGACCCTGTTCGACCGCCAAAATCCCCGCACCCGAATGTCAGCCCAGGACATATTGCCAAAGACAGCGGCAAGAGCCGCGAACTTGCAGACGTCAAGGGCACGGGGATAGACCGCAGGCTGGCTAGCCTTAATAATCCTGCGGATGACCTGAGAGACCCACACCCTCAAACAGGGAAGAAGGGAAACCGGATCAACCCAAAGCGCATCCACGGACACAGAAGCTGTGGCGCGCAAATAACGGCGGAGAGCCGCAACCGAACACAAAACATGATGCACCCCGGCCGAACCAACCAAGCATCAACAACCCAGGGACCCCTCCAGAACGCAGCAGTCTCATTCTTCGCCAGAAAAGGAGAAGGGTGCAGTCGAACAAGCCGACCACCCCGACCGAAGGAGCAGAAACCTCTGCGCCGGAGCAGAGCATGAAGCTCACCCACCCAACCCCCAGAGGCCAATGCCAACAGGAAAAAAGAGCCTTCGAAAAACAATCCGGAACCAAACGGGCCATAACAAAATGAGGAGAAGAAAGAAAAGAGAGCACTCTGTCTAATGACCAGGACTGCTCAGGCGGCCAATGGAAGAAGTCGGCGTCGACCGTCCATTCCGTGGAGAGGGGAATGAAACGAGACAGGCCGTCGGCCAAGACGTTGGACACTCCCTGCACATGAACTGCCATGGGAGCGCAACCCCGAGAACTCAGCAGACAAGTCACCCGAAGTGACCAGCGCCAAAGAGCCGAGGATCGCATCGAACCCCCCTGGTTCAGACAGTGAACCACCGAGGAGCAGTCAGAGTGGAGCCAGATCATCGACCCGTGGGCGACTCGAATCCTGTAA